TGACCCGAATTGGTCGTGAACAGAAGCGTTTGTGACCCGAGGTACCACTGTACTTTCTTTCAGCCTACTTATATACTAAGGAAGGGACAATAATTCTTACCGGTTTGTGCTACTGTTATAAAAAGTATTGAGGCTGTATGTATATGTGTGTATGTGTATGTGCATGTGCATAGGAATATAAAAGAAAACCCTTTAATGCATTGAAGTATGCTATATTATTTTTATCTTTGATTTATGTTTCTACTGTACAAAAAAATTATAGTGAATTTAAAAGTTAACCCAAATTCCCTTAATTTTAGATACATGTTTTACTTTGTGTTTAGGTATCTAAGAGAATAAAGTATTTGGCCTTTGTAAGAATATTTACATTTTATTATATCTTTATGCCTTAATACTCTCTGAAGAATGAATATTCCCGAGGTTTGCTACCAGTGTTGGGATTTAAAGATCTGTTCTAAATATATACATCCAAAAACCCATGTGGATTTTCTGAATGTGATGTGGTGTGAGCAGCAAAACTGATACCACATCACACTGTTTTTGTAAATTTGTTCCTTTCATACAACTTTTTGCAAGCTGTATGAGAGTATGCTGTTCACATGAAACTCAGGCACAGAATTGGTCACATTTTTTATTCTATGTTGGATGAATTATTTATATTTATATTTTTTATTTTTTTAAAAAAAATCAGTTATGATGAACTTCTGAGAGAGGAGAAGACTGCTACAAATGAGATCAATGCCTTGGAAAGAAAAATTGAGATGTGGGCTGTAGGAGCTTCAGCAACTGCAAGAATTTCCAAGCAATGTGTATTTCCAGTACATACAGAAGTCCAAAATCAACTTCCTGAAGAAGTCCTTGAGCTTGAAAGATTTCTTCAGCAAACTGGAGGAAGGCAAGGAGGTTGGGATGAATGTGATCATCAAGTCTTCCTAAAAATTTGGAGAAAACATAAAGGAAAACCATCATACATCACTGAAACCCTTGATTACCTCCCTGATAGAACAAAGGAAGACATTCAATCACATGAGAAATGGCATCAAGAATTTCTAATTTTAAAGTCACGTAAAAAGGAGGTGAGAGAATTTTGCCATTTGGTTTGTCCATAAATTTAATAGTGCCAGAATATATTGGAATTGATCCAGGCAATTATCTTTTTTTCTTAACCACTAGTTCTTTTTTATGCTAGTATGTAAATGTGCTTCCATCTTCATCAGTATTCACTTACCTAGTGCCCTCTAGATGTGGTGGAACTTCAAGTCCCATAATTTCCAATGATTATGCTAGAAATTGAGTTTAGGAAGAATGCTTATATTATTTGGCAAATATAGGTGATAATATTCAGTGCTTTTAAATATGAGAACATGTTGAAGTGCTGTGGCAATAACCAAGAACATTTTATTTGGGAAAATAGATTGTCCTTTGGGTTCTGTATAGGACTATATCCATTCTCTGTCTCCCTTTATTGTTCTATATCCCATTTTTGTATCCTTAGAGCATACAGTTTTTCTGCCAACAAACATTCACCTAGTTCATTGTTTCTCTATTCTCCAGCTTTGTTGATACAGACTAGAATTTATTCAACATTGGTCAGAATGTATAATTCTGCATTGAAGACTCAAATCTAACCAGACTATTTGGAAACCAGTTCCATTGAAATGTAAAAGCTTTCAACAGTCTAACAAAGGATTTCAGCATTTAGTTGTTATTTCCTAATCATAATAATTATGATTAGAAGCAGCAGCACCTTCTGTTGTTAATATCTAGGATGGGCACATGTAGCCCTTAAAATGCTGTTGAACTGCAATGCCATTATCCTGGAAAATTGTCTATGTTTGCTCAAGTCAGTAAGATATAAGTTTAATAAGACCATATGTTGCCACACCTAACTTAGAGTGTATGAACTGGAGTTGGGAGAGGAAGATTTGCCATAGAATGTCAGCCCTTCAAAGTAGACCAGACAAGGAAACAAAAGTCACTCACGCCAACATTACTTTTATTACAAAGATATAGTAACAGAATCTTACAAGTCTGAATGTGCTCCTCCCCCCTTCCCTTTATCTTCATGAAAATTATGGAGGGTCTTGCCTGAGATGTTTTCTCAAGTTACAGTTCTGCCCCAGGCTCTTTTATCAGACCGCTGTCTTGATAGCTGTTTTTCCTCAAGACCATTCCCTTTGCCCACTATGTAGAAATGCTTTAGGTTTAACTGTTCTCCCCCTCTCCCCATCCAGTGCATTATAGATCTAGAAAAAAATTTGAAGTTTAAAAAAGCAGCCAGGAGTGTATTATGAGATAAAATTGGCAGCTAAAAAAAGTTTAAAGTTCTTAGCAATGAATTCTATTTTCCTGGCTTGAATTTTTATTAGATAAGCAGTTGTGAGATTTTAATGAAGGTGAAGAAGAATCTGTAGTTTTCTCTTAAGATAAAATACTGATAATGGATAGAGTACTACTTGCATGACCATAAAACTGTCTTAATTCAAGAGAGCTCTAATGATGAAACAAGCCTCATATTGATTGTAAAGAAATATTACTGACATCATCTATAGAGCATAAAGTAAGTATCTTATTCAAGACAAAATCTCTCATGAGTTTCTGATAAAATGAAGCACATACTTTTTATTCTTTCCAAAATAGTAGAAGGTTGGAAAGAAATTATGTGAAAGTGTTTAGAACTATGTTTGCCTCTACATCAGTAGGATAACTGAAAACAGAATAGAACTGGATTAGATTTGTTGTGGGAAGAGAGGCCAGCAAAGGAAAAAATGAGTTAAAAAATAGGCTGGATCTAGCTAGAGTTAGTCTAACTAATCCCTTTGTTATGCAGATGAAATGCCAGGCACCTCATATGGCCATTGCCTGCAAAAGGGCCGGAAAGAATTCCAGAAGCCACACTGTGAATGTTTTCCCTTCTTTGGTTACTTGGAAAATTCCTAATGCATAATTATAAGAGCAGAATAGCTGTGCTAGATCAGTCCAAGGCCGATTTTAGTATAGTATTTTGTTTCTCACAGTTGTCAACCAGATGTTTATGGATTCTTCAGAAACATGAAGCCCCCCCCCCCAATTGTACAGATTACTAATAGGCGGTACAGTTTTGTAATACTTCTTAGGTCCTGTTCTCCTTCAGATGGTTAGAACTGGTGTGGTGATAAATTTCATTATTTATTTATGCATTATTTTATTCACTTAACTGTAACACTCTAGGCCATTCAAAAATGGAAAATGAAGAAACAAGAAGAAAAAGATAAAATATTATTCCAAAAAGAGAATCATGAGGAAGTGCCCACTGGTGTTCAATTTCAGCGTGAAGAAGCTCAGAAGCAGAAAACTGAAGAGGAAAGGAAAAAACGATTGGTAGAGCTTGAAGCATGGAAGAAACATAAAGCACTTGCATGTGCCATGAAACAGGCAGCTCAGTTAAAAGAGGAAGAAGAGAAGGAGAAAAAAAAGCAGAGAGAACGTCAGCGGCAGCTTCAAATGAAGTTGGTGTTGGAAGATTATAGTAGAGAGAAAAAGGAACAGGAAGAGCTGCTGAGACTTGAAAAAGAAAAAAGAGAGGAAGCTGAAAGGGAAGAGAGGAAAAGAACTGCAGCAGAAGAAATTGTTAAATTCCAAGAGCGAGTGAGTAATTTTTTTTATCTCCTTCGTATTTGCTTTAGGGTTCTCTGTGGTTTAATATGAGAAGGACAATTGTATTTCACTGTATGAAGCTTCTTAGTGATAGACATTTATGTTTATATTCAGTTGACCCTGTCTCATCTGGCTACAATTGTCTCCATTAAAAATGGCAAATCTCAAGAATTTTTTTCTAAAAGAATTATTAGTATAGGCTTAAAAATAACTACTTGCACGGAGTAATCAAGAATTGAACTGATGAGACAGTAATTATGAAAAAGAAGAACCTGTAGTAATTGTCTCCCCAGCATTTCCTTAAAGTGAAAGGAAGCACATCTACATGTGCTGTTATCAGAGCACATACTATATTAAGTTTGAATATACTATTCAGTTATATACAGTGGTACCTCGGGATACGAACTTAATCCGTTCCGTGACTCTGGGAGTATCCCGAGTTGGTCGTAACCCGACACAAATTTCCCCCCAGGGGGCGATGAAAA